AAAATATTTAACCCAACCAAACATGAGAAAATTAAAACATTTTCCAAAAATGTTTCTTAAAATTAAAATTTTACCAAAAGTTAGTGTTCTCTTATATAAACAGTATAATAAAGTTGAATACTTTAGGATTAAGCCAAATAAATTTTCACATTCAATAGCTTTATTTGTTGTCATCATGTTCTTTATTTTTACGTTCAAGAATTTTATAGTCGTTATGTTTCTTTATTTGTTTTTAAAAAATTCATATTATAATTTTATAGAATTTAATTTTTTTTTTTGCTACTATAAACTAGAAAACTATAAGGAATTTTATTATTAAAATTGTACAAATATTTTTTGATTGCAAAAATCGGAGAAGCCATGAGAAGAAAGAGCAAAAGGGTTACATAATATTTTTAAAATGTTGATGTTGTATATTGTTGAAATTGTGATGATTTAATTTATAAGATCAGAAGAATACATAATATTTTTAAAAGGGTTACATACATCTATCATGCTTGATTGTGTTTAACTTACTTCCTTTATGATATATCCAAATTAAAAAAATATTTCATCTGCATCGTTAATTAGATTTTGTATGAATCACAAGCTATGTTAAAGGTCTTAATTACAAAGAAACAAGTACAGGGGTAAACATGAGTACTAGAGAAGACATGCATTTTGTGAAATATTTGGGAGTATGCATATGTAGTTAGCTTACCATTCATCAACACTAGATCATATATTTGGGAAAATTATGCACCCTAAATATAATTTAATGGTCAATAAAATGAGTTAAAATTACGAGGTATCATATTTATATGAGGGGACCTTTCTAATTATTATTTTTATATAATATAAAAATAACACATAAATGTGTCTTTTAATTTGATCTCAATTCACGTCTACGCCCTCTAACTTTGGGTATAAACAAGTATACACTTTAACTTGTATAAAACTAAGAGCATGCTTGGATTGACTTAAAAGTTGGTCAAACCTGCTTTTAAGTCATTTTTAGCTTTTGAAAGTGTTTGACAAGGTTAAAAATAACTTAAAATAAGTTTAAAATGACTTAAAAAAAAAAGTTAAAAACCAAAAGTAGGTCTCCTCCTACTTTTTATTTTTTGACTTAAAAACTATTCTTTTTAAACCAATACAAAATGAGCTCTAAACAAATAGACACTAGTGTCCTACATGATGTTCTATATGACAATTTGTGTCATGCATGTATTTTGCCACATAGGACGTATGTGTGTTCAATTTTATACAAGTTTAAGTGTTTACTTGTATACACTCAAAATTGAAGAACATCAATGTCAAATAAAGTCAAATAAATGAACATATTTATGTATTATATCTAAAAAGAAATCATTGTACAAAAGCCAACAAAAGGAAGAGATGGGAATGAAAAAGTGAAATTCTAACCACAACATTCTTCCTGAAAAATATTTAAAATATTAAAAAAAGAAAGTAGCACAAACAAATTGAACCGAAACCAAGAAAGTATCACAAACACCAATCTTTTTCTGGTTACTTGAGCAGCCTTGGCCCTAGGCCTCACAAAAGAAGTGACAAATTACACAAAATTCACAATCTTCAAAGGGATAGCCTTATCCAACCTCAACACATGTGTGCACCACACAAAAGAAAACTCAATATCTTTAGAAAGATACCCATTGTGCCACGTGTCTTTCAGGATCCATGAAAAAAATGATCAAAACCCCCTTTTGTATAATACATTGCCAACCCAATAACTACCTAAAAACTAGTTTAGTTAGTGTGAGGTGAATTATAGGATGGCATCTTTGGCAACTCTTGCTGCTGTGCAGCCCACAAGTGGCCTAGCTGGAAGCTCCATTGCTGGAACTAAGCTACATGTTAAATCATCTCGCCTTAATGTCAAGTCTACTAAATCCTGCAGGTATATGTCGAAGGCTAGTCAGTTGAACACCCTTGCCCGAAAATTTATACTGCATATATAGGTTAAATATTACCTTTTATACATATATATTAAATCTTGAACACCCTTAAATTACTGACTTAGCCACCGCTGATAATGTATAGAAGTTAAACTCATATACTAAGGACATATCATGTTGCTAATCCCACTTATTATATCACTACTAGAAAAAATCACTATTTTTCCATTGAAAATTGTTTAGTGGCTAGTTTCATGGATATTTTGATTGAATCAACAAGAAAAGAAAAAATAGTACGTATTGTTTCATACGGAAAAATTAGAAAGTTTTCCACTATTTCAGTGATAATCTATTTCCGAGATGTGCATTTTCTGAGTGAGATGGTTCGGTGGGAAATGAGTGGGAAAATCATGTTCTATAACACATATTACCATTAATTTCACGGTGAGCAAAAACCTTTGATTCTAGTAGTGTATGATATTCGCTGTTATTTATCTTTTAGATTCTCAGATGGTGTATATCTTTTGTATTGTGTATAGAAGTTAAACTCATGATATATAGGAGTATTTAGGATTTATACATGAGTGTCTTTAACCTGTTGTGGAAAGTCACTTTCCTTATTTTTCTTACATTTGGTTATATCACTTATGATGAAAATTCACTTATAGTTAGTTATCTTTGTATATATACACTGTCAATGTATAGAAGTAAACTCGATCTTGACATCCTGGTACTAAAGCATAGTTCGTGCAACGGTATAGGAGGAATCAGTTGTATACAATAAAAGAAGGGCACTCTGTAAAAGTAAGCGCGTGTTTTTATTTGATCGTTGTAATCTGATTGATTATACATTTTTGCTAGGGCTGGTGCTGTGGTTGCAAAGTATGGTGACAAGAGTGTATATTTTGATTTAGAGGACTTGGGCAACACCACTGGCCAGTGGGACTTGTATGGTTCAGATGCACCCTCACCATACAACTCCCTTCAGGTATTTCATCTTTTTTACCCTTTAAACACATTCTTTCTTGCAGCAATACTTCATGTTTCATAGTCCGATTGACATTTAACATGACCGTCTGAGGAGTTTCTAACGTTATGCTTTTGATTGGAAAAGAGAAGAATTTGTCATCAATTGTCAAGTCTTAGTGACTTTTTTTGATCATTTTTACCAGTTGCAATTGATATGTTTTTTCCTCTATAGCTTTCAAATTGGCAGGACATGCAGAGCATTTCAATATTATAGGCATTAGTAACTTTTTCGAGTTTAAATTCAACTTCTCATTCATTGTTATTATAAGCGAGTCTTCCGTCTTGACTTGTTGGTTTTCTTAGGTTCAATTATGTTGATGGGAAACTTTATGTATTTTCGAGTACTTGAGCATGTGTGGAGCATAAGAAATTGTCTTAACAACCAAGTCTATACGACAATAACAACATACCTAGTGCAATCTCACATGTGGAGTCTAGGGAAGGTAGTGTGTACGCAGCCTTACCCCTACCTTGTGAAGGTAGAGAGGATGTTTCTAATAGAATCTCAACTCAAGTTAAGCATATCAAATCAGGTATAAAAAGGAAATACAGTAGAGAAGAAGTCATGTTGGAAATAATGGACAAGTCTATATAGGCCGAACTAGCTTTCGTGAGGATAATGAACACAACCTGGCCTTTCCAGACAAATTATTAAAAAGTTTTTGGTCTACTTAAGATCAGTTCTCAGTAGAGCTATAAGTGACAGAACTTAATTTCTCACCTATGCAGACATTAGTGTCTTCCAGGTAGATAATGCAATTGAACTGTTTCCTTGTTACTTAAGCTCATACGCAGATCCAAGATTTTAAGTCAGGGGGTATAGAGTATCACTGTACCTACTACTTCTTTGTGGAAGCATACTTATTCTAGACATATGTGTTATAAAATTTTCATTAAACACACAGTTAGAGTCGAATGGACCAACTACTTCACATCCACCACTGCTTAAGCTAAGTGTGAGTTTTGACAATCATTAAGAGTTTGCTTGTTATGCTTGGAAGGAATGATTGAGTCTGTGTAAGCTCGGAAGTTGGTGGTAACTTTCTCTTGTATTGCGTTGTGTTTTGTAGAGCAAGTTCTTTGAGACCTTTGCCGCTCCTTTCACAAAGAGAGGACTGTTGCTCAAATTCCTGATATTGGGAGGTGGCTCAACTCTTGCATACTTCAGTTCAACGGCATCAGGGGATATACTACCAATTAAGAAAGGGCCACAACTTCCACCCAAGCTTGGTCCACGCGGAAAGATCTAATTTCTTTCAATCAAGTTTTCTCAACCTTCATTTTGTAATTGATGCATCTGTCGTCAGCTTGTAAGTATTCTTGAAGCCTACATGAGACCTTTGTTACAAGAAGTTAAATCTTATGGCATTCGGTTTATCTTGTTGCAAAGTTGGAGCTTGCTTTCTAACATGGTGTCTTATGACATTCAATTTATCTTGCTGAGATGCTACTTCTGTCGGTTCACATAGGTGTCAATGCCTATTTAATGTTTTTACTTAAGCTTTGGTTAGGAAGTCACTGACTTCACAATTGCTCACTGTTTAATCGAAAGGAAAAATTACTTATAAATTGCAAGGGAATTGCCTTAAATCGAAATGATTATACTATATCGACATGTAAACTTCAAGTTGCCGATTACAAAACTCTTTTAGAAGAGGCTATCCAAGGTAAGAATGGACTATAATAAAGTCCATAATTTCCATGGTTATGTCAACGAGGTGACGTCTTCTGCAGAGTAAATCATTTCAAAAAGTGTCACACCAGCAGTCCTATACTAACTATATATTCCCTATTTACAATAGGAATGACTTAGTGAAATCCTAGGTATGTGTGATTCATCTTAGTATGTACATTTGACGCTGATTGTCACTTTGATGAATTTATCTGTCTTGCCTCTGATGAGTTGATCAATGTTCTGCAGTGACATCATTTAGTGGCGTGCAGTTGGACTTCTAGCACCAACTAAGTTATCTAAGTAAGAAAGTTTCTTGTTTGTAACTACACTAGGTGGTTTCTTTGCATCAGCGTCTATGTCCTCCTTCACATCTTTCTTTGTGTCATTATCTCCTTGTTCCACTGTCCAACCCATGAAATCCAACAATGTCATTGACGTTGGATTCTCTGCAGCGTTAAGCTTTTCTACTTCTTCCCTAGCATTTGGGAAGCTGCCTGATGGTGATACCCGTAGTGAATCTCTTAAAGGAGACTTCTTCATTTCAGCACAGGAAGGATTTTGGGCCGTAGCATCTACTTGGAGAACATCTTCAATCCGTGACATCACTGTGTGTGCCCTGCTCTCTATTATTCTTGAATAGCTTTCTAAAACAGCTTGCCCCACGTCCTGTAAAAAAGAGAAAACTATACTTATGACTTACTTAGAAGGCCAACAACTAGATCGCTTTTAGCGTTGCAGCATTATGTTTGAAGCCATTAGGACATCAGGAAACTACGTTAGGGAACAACAAATACGAGATGGATATTCTGATTACAACCAAAAACATCCAAGTGGATTAATACAGAAACGAGGAACAAGCCTAAGATTCTCTCGAATATCATTATAACTTGGTATAATACATAAATATGCCCTTTAACTAGGCCTCAGCTGACATCTATACCTTCCAACTTTGGGTATCCACAAGTAGACACTTTAACTTATATAAAATTCAAAAAAGTAGACGCACATGTCCTACATGGAATAATACACGTAAGATGCAGTGTAGGACACGAATTGCCATGTAGGGTGACAGGTAGGACGTGTGTGTCTACTTGTTCAACTCTATACAAGTTAAGTGCATACTTGTGCATATCCAAAGCTGAAGAGCAACGTTTATTTATTATGTCTAAAACTTTTATGGTAAATAAATAGAGGTTGCTTCTTACCTCATTGTATTGGATTTTGCTAATGTCTAGAGATGACTGAGGAATTCCAGGGAATCGCTGCTTAAGAATAAGCAAGATAGTCTCTGCTCTGTCTTCAAAGATTTCTCTCTTCTCTACACTAACGGCAGAACCCCATGCTGACTTCCCATCTTTAGACGTCATCTTTCGTCTCCAAATAATAACAGAAGCCTCAAGTTTGTTCTTGAGGTCTAAAATTTTATGTTCTGAAGTCAAGTCCATAGTTGTGAGGAAGTAGTCAGGATCAAAGTATTCGTCAGTGATACTCCTATAGATCGTATCTCCAAGACTTGCTCTCCCATTCTACACATAAGAAGAGAAAATATTAGATCATGACGTGTTATTCTATTCCACCTCTTAGAAAGAAAACAACTTCAAAATGAAAATACTTATATAAGATTTCCGTTTGTTCTTGTACCTTAGGTAGGGAATCTATATAACTTTCAGGGATTTCCATTTCTAACAAGATTTGAGCATTTATGGCCATTGCTGCTTTCAGAACTTGGTTTACTGAATCCTTTTGAAATTGCAGCCATTTCCTTGTAACATCAGACAAGCCATTAGTCGGAACCTTAGGAGTCGGTATCCACCATTTGTCATCGTTCCTCCCTTCCTGTGATTCGTCATCCTTTGATACATACGAGAACTCATTTTGGTCTTTAAAGCTATCTAAGCAGTCCTGTTGGTCATCAAACCAAGCTTAAACATCGATAGCTATAGATTACATTAGTTTGAAATTTAAATTGAAGTTTTTCTCTTACGAGAAGCATAGCATCTAGCTTGCGTAATGCTGGAACGTTCATTTGAAGATCATTTCTCTGCTTTGTCACCATAACCTGACAAACAAAAAATTCATATTGACCTGTTATTTTTAGCTAGATATATGATATATGCGAAGAGGATTTTCTGGGAGAGAAAGAGAATTACCTCCATGCATGTTCCGTCTTTTGATATTTGTTTAGAAGGAACGAATTCAACAACATGATCTGTTACAGATAACAACCAATCGATTTCTCTTCTCCATTTGGCTTTTCTATCTGCTGGCATTGGCTCTAATCTCTTCTGTTCCCCAAAAGCAGAAGCTGCATTTTGAGAAAAATAGGCAAATAGAATGAATGTCATATAAAATAGAACCGAGATAGTATATACAGCCTGTGATCTGGTGTAATTGCAATACCTGCTAGGTTTGTTATCGCGTTTGACAATGCCAATGCAGAAGACACACCCTTTCCTCCACCAGACATATCCTCGCCAAGCAACAACTTTGCAAATTTTTCCTTCATCAGCTCCATATCTATATAGAAAAATATCACAATCATTTGAATGCAAAGAGAGGGGAAATAGAAATCTAAACTCCCTTTGTTAACTAGTATGAAATTGAGGCGTAATTGTTGTTATATTGTACTATTATGACAATGCAGGTAGTTAGTTCGCCATGAATAGTAAGAAAGATGGACAAAATTAGAAGATGTGTTGCCTGAAGGTGGGCACTGTTTCGGGCGTGGGCTAGAGACAACAGGGGTCTCATTGGCCAAACGCAACTTAATAGACTCGCTGCGACTAAGCACACAGCCAGTCTTTTGAGAATCAACAGGCTGATCTTCACTTTTCGATTCATCCCCTGAATCACTGCTATTACTGGTCTCAATAGTAACAATTTTTGTTTCCTGTCCTGTTCCATCTTCAGATTTTCCTTTGAAATGCAACAACTTTGCCTTGCACATTTCTTTCGCTTCCTCAAGCGCTGCTCGAACCATCTTTTTGATTCAAGCTAAATTGAAATATGTTACACAATGCAACAATATAATTATGGAGTTGTTGAAACTCGAGGAAACGGGGGCATAAAGAGGAGGTGAAAAGAAGGAAAAATAATGCAAAGTTTAGCGTTTTTCTATTAGCAAAGAAAGTTTTGCTCTTTTGATGGAGAATGGAAGAGATTTTGGTGTTAAGTTTTTTTGGATGGCTGAGACAACGTGCGGTGCATGTTTTATAGCAAACAAGTTAGTACTTTTCTAATTTGATGACTTTATATAGAAATTTTACCTTTTGTTGCTATTGCTATTTATATTCGAATAATTTTATTCAAGTAATTTTTTGACGAAAAAATCGTATAATATTAGGTATGTGTGTTTATTTGGATGAATGTTGTTTGCTACAAATGAAATTCAGACATCCTTCCCCCCAAAATAGATCAAAGGTGTGAAATATGTCTTATTTGTTATTTCTTTCCAACTTGGATGTCCTATGTGTTTTTAAGTCATGTCATAACGAGTTCTAAATCTCTATAGATATAGAAATATACATACATATATTATAACCCTCACTAATTATTTTAAATTGAAGTGCGGCTGGTTGATTCATTAAGATGATAAAAGCTTTTAATAATAATAATAATAATGATATAACAATAATATAAAGATTGTTGCTACTATAAACAACAATAATTATAGGGTTGTTGTAGATGAACAAAGGTGATATTCAGAACTGTCACAATTACAATTACAAGAATATTAAGCCATACTACGTAAGTCTGCGAGAGGTTATGATAAAACTCAAAAACACTTTTCGATCATCATGACTTCATGAGGTTATGATAATGAATTAATTGCCTGCCACACCAAATTTACTGAGTAACGGCTGAAGCCCATGGGCGGTGCACCTCTGTCATGGTCAACTTTTTATTTAATTTTGCCTTTATATTTATTGAAAATATTTTTTTTGTCCACCAGATAAGTATTATCTTTCAGAAAATATTTCTTAATGTACCAATTCCATCGATTCTAATGAGCTATATAATATAATAATAAGCCGTATACACCAAATTTGAGCTCACTAATTGGTCTAATTGAATGTGTCAGCTCAATCTTTTACTATATTTTGATCAGTAAGCAAATCCATGAAAATCTTTACTAGTTTTTGAGAAGGTATAATACATATATAAATTTGATTAACTAATATTTATGTTTTTTAATTTAGTTTCAACTAACATCTATGCTTTTTAACTTTAGGTGTGCATAATAAGACATTTAAACTTGTATAAAATTGAACAAGTGTCTAAATGCATCCTACGTGACATAATACAAGTAGAATGATATGTAGGATGAATGTGTCTACTTGTTCAATTTTATACAAGTATAAGTGTCCTCTTGTACATATCCAAAGCTAGAGGGCGTTATGTAGGATGCGCCAAAGTTAGAACACAAAATTGTCATGTAGGATGATGTCACGTAGGACGAATGTGTCTATTTATTTAATTTTGTACAAGTTTAAGTGTCTACTTGTGCACATCCAAAATTATAGGGCATCTATGTCAATCGACCAAAATTAAAAGACACATTTATGTATTATGACTTCTAACAATGCACTTATTTTAACTATTTCGATTTGAATCCAATTGAAAGAATTATAAACAAGTATATCGAATTTACTAAGAACATATGTCTTTTTCTTTTGATATTCATATTATGTTGTCTAATGACGTGATTATGCAAAGGCCTATCTTCATATTTTTTAAAAAGACATAAAACATAAATGTGTCATTTAGCTTGGCCTTATTTCACATTTATATTCTCTAATTTTGGTTGTGCACAAATAGACATTTAAATTTGTACAAAATTGAACAAGTAGACATATGAATTTTACGTGATATTATACACGTAGGACACCACATAGGATGCAAAATGCCATGTAGAATGTGTGTGTTTATTTGTTTCACTTTATACAAATTTAAATGTCCACTTATTCACACTGCGCACCAAAATTGGAGAAAATAAATGTCTCAAGTTAAATAATATATTTATGTGTTATGCATTTGAAAAATATAGGGGCTGGTAATAGAATTTCCACATAATTTGAGTATTAAGTTGTAGAAGGGGGACAAATATGAGGATGTATTTATATATTATCTCAATATAAAATCATTATTATAAATAGTCTCACCCACATCCACAAGAAGCATGCCGTTAATGGGACAGGATATGTTTTCCATCCTTTATTCCTTAAGTTATTTAATTTTGGATTTTTCTAAGAAAGAAAATACTTCATTTAATTAAGGTGAAGATAGATTTTGAAGGAAGAGAAAGTAAAAACTAGAGTAATTTGATGTCATTAAAAAATTACTCCTAAAATAAAGAATAAGAATGATATCCATTTAATTTATTTTAAAATAAATAAAGCCAACTCCCATTTATAAAATTAAAAACATAACAACATTTACTTGCTTAAAGGTGTGTTTGGTACGAAGGAATTTTTCATGTTTAGTTACTTAAATATTTTGTTCCGAAACTGAATGAAAATGACTTTTCTACATAAAGTAAGAGAAACGTTTTTCAAAATTATCTTTCAACGTCATGACTCACAATTCAGGTATTTTTAAGCTCATTTAATCAAGTGTAGAGGTGTTTTTAGTAATAAACATAGCTCAGGAATGTAAGTAATAATTCGTGTTAAGTTCGAGGACATTTTCATCACTTTTCAATTATAATTGACATAATACATATGCTATTTAATTTGGATTCAGATGTCATGTAGGCCCTCCAACTTTTGGTGTGCAGAAATATACACTTAAACTTGTATAAGATTGAACAAGTAGACACACCATCCTACTTGACATAATGCACATAGGATGACACACTGGACACACAATTTTCATGTAGGAACATCACGCAAGATGAATGTGTGATGTGTCTAATTGTTCAATCTTATAATACCAATTTAAGTGTCTACTTGGCACACCCATAGCTAGAGGACATAGATGCAAGATGAAGCCAAGTTGAAGGACACGTTTATGTAGTATGGGTATATAATTCACATGATAATTGTACACGTTTTAGAGCCCAATCACTGAGAACCACCAAATTGTACTATCAAAAGATAAGTTAGTTATAAAGAATCAACACAGTTTCAATTCTTCTCAATCTTGCAGACACTTATAACTAATCTCATATAGAAGAAAAATGGAATCTATAGGAGTACTAATGGCATGTCCAATGTCATCATACTTAGAACAACAACTCGATAATCGATTCAACCTCATACGTTACTGGAACTTCTCCGACAAGAAACAATTCATCAACAACTACGCGCATTCAATACGTGCTGTTGTGGGCAACGCTGCTGCTGGTGCTGATGCAGAGCTTATCGAGGCGTTGCCTCAGCTAGAAATTGTGACTAGTTTCAGTGTTGGTTTAGATAAGATTGATTTGAACAAGTGTAAAGAGAAGGGTATTAGAGTGACTAATACACCTGATGTGTTAACTGAGGATGTTGCTGATCTTGCTATTGGATTAATGTTGGCTGTGCTTAGGAGGATTTGCGAGTCTGATCGATATGTTAAGAAGGGATTGTGGAAGGCCGGTGATTTCGAGTTGACTTCTAAGGTTAGTGTTCTTTCTATTTCATTTTATATGACGATATTTATTACAGATAGAGTTTAAGATATTAGTTTGATTGGTGGAAAAGAAGATGTTTAAGCAATAGATGATAAGTTACTTTGACAATTATGGATTTTACACATGAAGTTATGCTCCGAGTCAAAAGTACAGGGTTCAGATGAACCAGATACCACCAGGCTACATGTACACCAACATTTACCTGATTCATCGCTCTTTCTTTTGCAGTTTAGTGGCAAAAGAGTTGGTATCATAGGATTAGGGAGGATTGGCTTAGCAATTGCAAAGAGAGCAGAGGCTTTTGATTGTCCAATCAGTTACTATGCGCGATCAGAAAAGGCAAATACAAATTACAACTACTATCCAACTGTAGTAGAACTGGCTACCAACTGTGAGATCCTGGTTGTGGCGTGTGCCCTAACTCCTGAGACTCGTTACATTGTCAACCGCGAAGTGATTTATGCATTAGGTCCAAAAGGGATTCTTATCAACATTGGAAGGGGACCTCATGTTGATGAAAAAGAGATGGTATCTGCTCTTCTTGATGGTCGATTAGGGGGCGCTGGCCTTGATGTGTTTGAGAATGAACCTGAAGTACCTGATAAGCTGTTTGGCCTTGAAAATGTGGTCTTGTTGCCTCATGTAGCTAGTGGTACAGAGGAGACACGCGAGTCGATGGCTGACATTGTCATTGGTAACTTAGAAGCTCACTTTCAGAACAAACCACTGTTAACTCCAGTAGTTTAGTAATGTAACTAAGATTTTGGTTGTCATGGTTGTCTGGAGGGCTACATGTTGATGTAAATTTTGGTTCCTTTGTTAAGACTCTTGCTAATCCCTGCGTTGTTAATCTCTGCATTACTAATCCATGCATTACTAATCCCTGTGTTATCAATGTTTGTATCAAACAACCCCTTAAAAGTACATTGTCTCCTTGGTTTTATGAGTTTTCCCTTTACTGCTTCGTAATGTTGAATAATTCATGGAGTATGATCACACTAGAAATATAAATACCTAACTTGCTCCTCAGCAATTTAACAGACCGTTATTTTATTTGATTTCGGTTAGTTGAAGGACTAAAATCACAAGCATTACTTAATTGAATGTCAAATGTGCTTAATCAAGTATCACAAGGACTAAAATAAGAATAATACAATAACACAAGTATTAAAAATGTTATTTTCCCAAACAGTTCTGTTATAATAGTGTCATTTAACTAGGGTTCATTTCACATTTATGTTCTCCAACTTTGAGTGTGTATAAACAAATACTTAAACTTGTACAAATAGACACATAAGTCTTACTTAACATAATACACCTAAGACACCATGTAGGACACCATGTAGGACACAAATTTCCATGTAGTATGCCACATAGGACACAAATTGCAGGTAGGATGCCACGTAGCATGCGTGTGTCTATCTATATAACTTTATACAAATTTAAGTGTCTACTTGTGTACACACAAAATTAAAGGGATAAATATGAGTTGACGCCAAATTAAAGCGCATATTAATCCCTCTGTTCAACAATAGTTGTCCCCTATTGATTTGACGTAGGAATTAAGAAGCAATAAATTATAGTGTTAATTTTACTAAATCACTCTTATTAAATAAATATAAATCATCTAAATATTGAAAAATGATAATATTTAATAACAAGAGTAAAATAGACACAAAATGATAAATTATTTATTACTTTGTTCTAAGCTGAACAAGTATGATCAAATATCTCAAAATAACAGTGGACAAGTATAAATGCACGGACAATTATGCCATCTTAAAATTGTTCACAAACCAAATCACCTCTTAAATTCTTATTAGTAAAAAAAAAAAAACGTGAAACCTAAATTTAACATTTTACTCGCAAAAAGCCAATTGGTGTGCAACAACGCCCAGGTTCATAATGGCGATGGCGAAAATAGGAGTATTGATGACATGCCCAATGTTATCTTACCTAGAAGAAGAACTCAACAAGCGTTTCGACCTCTTCAGATTCTGGGAAGCTTCTTCTAAGTCTGAGTTTTTGACTCAGAACAGTGACTCAGTCCGAGCAGTTGTGGGGAACGCATTTTTCGGTGCTGAATCGGAGCTCATTGATGCATTGCCAAACTTGGAAATTGTATCATCTTACAGTGTGGGTTTGGATAAGATTGATTTGGTAAAGTGTAAAGAGAGAGGGATTAGAGTTACTAATACTCCCGATGTGCTCACTGATGATGTTGCCGATGCAGCGATTGGACTGATATTAGCCACTTTGAGGAGAATTTGTGTTGCTGATGGATTTGTTAGACGCGGCTTATGGAAAAATGGCGATTTCGAGTTGACATCAAAGGTTGTTATTATTCTATGCTTTTCGTACTTCCTTTAATATATTTGAAGAGAAATCCTCAATTTTGCATATGTGAGTTTCGCAAAGCATAACCAATTGCAAGCCTTAATCATCCTGATTAGGAATAATAACATACTCAGAAAATGATTTGTAAAAATTTACTATTCAATCCAAAAGCCTATACAACTCAACATATTCACAATTTTGCATATGTGGGAAATTGTTTGTCAAGTAATGTATTTGGCTCTCGGAAATTGAACATTGGTGATACTTTTAGGATAGCGGAATTTTTTGGAGCTCCTTTGGGAATAGCTCATCAGATTACTCTCACTAGGAGACTGCTCAGAATCAGTATTATCAAATGGGGTGCTTAAGCCCTGAAGCGAGACTCAAAGTGTGTTGAGCGCTTCACCTCACTTAATGTGCGTCTTAGTGTCGTCATCAAGGTACTAAGACATATTTTTCCTTGCCAATGAACCTCTTTTGAAGAGGCGGCACTAAACTATTGATATTTCACTTTATCATAAAATAAGTTCAATTTCTTTGATCATATATTTGTCATTCATATTTATATTTTTTAGTCTTGGACCAAACATATATATTTGAATTTTTTTCTCCCTTTGCGCCTTTTTCATTAAAGCTCACGCTTTATTTGTGCTTTGCGCTTAAAGCCCTAACGTACCTTATAGCTTTTTTGCACTTTTTGCTTTTAATAACACTGCTCAGAACATGGTTTGAAGTCAAGTTAAGAAACAGAGTTCATAAAATGTTGCTTCTGATTACTCCTTTGGTGATCTGCTGGGAAATTTGTGAAGGTATTTGCTCTTGTAAATATGGAGAAATGGAGAAGATGGCATATAAGTAGTATGAAACATCAAGTTTTTTGGATCCTTAGAACAGCTAGTAGCCTGGTCTTCCCTTGCTGTGATCTGGATATCACTTGGAGTAAAATCTGTCAAATGGTGGAGAGACTGAAAACCTATGCCAAGATCCACTATTGTAATATGGCAATTACCGGATTAAGGCAAGGTTAAAGTCAATTCAGATGGAAGCTTCCCAATATCTAGTGGGAAAGTAGGAATTGGTAGAATTATTAGAGACTTTAAGAGGGAGATGATAATGGCTTTTGCTATTCCCACTAAGTGCGGTAGTAGTAACCTTGCTGAAGCCTATGCAGCAATGGTTGGAGCAGCTTGGTGTGTCGGTCATGGATACACTAAATTTGTTCTGGAATTAGACTCCCTTATAGTGGTGAACATGCTGAAAGAAAGGAGCACTGAGAATTACAAATTAAGAGCTATCATAGACGACATCATACAGATTTTATCTCAAGCAGAAGTGGAAGTCTAACACTGTTTTAGAGAAACTAATCAAGTAGCGGATAGCTTAGCTAAATATGCAACTACGCTTCGAGATGCGACTTATATGACTAGGTTTCAAGCTCTTCCCAGGGATGCTAGGGGCCTTACCAAGTAGATTGGTGGCAAAAGCCTATTATAAGGATCAAGCATGATAATACAATTATTTTTTTTCTGAACGAAGAAGTAGTTATACTCATCTGTGTGGAATTCATGGTTTTTGTATCACACAGCTATTTGGGAGTCAGGCCAAGCCCCCCTCCATTGTCCCATTATGCAATAACACACTCCAGAGCATGCTGGGAAACTTTATTTAGAAAACGAGCAGTAGTACTTATAGGAGTTTCTTTGCAAAATGCCTGCTGAGTTTTGAAATAGTATGTATATATCGTCTCAAGTCCTCAAAGTATGTAAAACAGTAAACATAATGAACTTCCATTAGACCTGGATCTTTTTTTTTTCATGACAAAAATTTAAATGCTGAATTCTTCTATTTTTTTGGTCTTTTATTTTCACTTTTATCAAATGATGACTGCTCCTTGTTTCAGTTCAGTGGTAAATTAGTTGGCATAATTGGATTGGGCAGAATTGGTTCAGCAATAGCAAAGAGAGCTGAAGCTTTTGGATGCCCCATTAGCTACCACTCCAGATCCAAGAGACCAAACTTAAACTACAAATACTACTCTACTGTGGTCGATTTGGCTGCAAGTTCTGAAATCCTTATTGTTGCATGTGCTTTGACTGAAGAAACCCGAGACATAGTCAATCGTAAAGTGCTTGATGCATTAGGTCCAAAGGGCATCTTAATCAACATAGGACGAGGTGCACATGTAGATGAATCTGAACTTGTAGCTGCACTGATTGAAGGTCGTATTGGTGGGGCTGGTCTTGATGTTTATCAGACAGAACCAGAGGTTCCTGAACAATTGTTCGGACTTGAGAATGTTGTTCTATTGTCCCATGCTGCAAGTGATACAGTAGAAACTTGCACAGCCATGGCAGACCTTGTTATTGCAAACTTGGAAGCTCATTTTCTTCACAAACCATTGTTGACTCCTGTGCTCTGAACATGTTCATTCATCAGTGCTTGCTGGGCAATCATCAAGAGTTGGATCTTTGAACTCATTGAACATTTCCAAGATTCTGGAATTGTATTCTTTTTTCTTTGATGATGATATCAAGTTGTGCATTTGACTTTCAAAACCAAAACTTTGAAGGATGGGTTTTATTCTGCTATCTTCCAAGAGCTTATTTAGTGTTGTAAATTAATAGTAAGTGGAATACTACAAACTAAGATATTATAGACGAGATGTAGAAAGGGGAGAGAATTTTTCGTCTTTCAAAGGTGAATAACATTCCAATTTATAGGATGAGAAATCACTTCAAAAAAATCACAAATATTACTCAAATTAATACATACATTGTAACCTATAAAAGTTTCATGTAATTTAGTCAATGTGTATGGAGTATGGACTTCTGTGGAGGACAAGATACAGAAAGCTAGATTGAGATGATTCGGGTATATTATGAGATGTATGGATGTCCAGTGTAGAGGTATGAGAGGTTGGCTATGAACGGTTTCAGGAAAGGTAGATGTAAATCGAATAAGTATTGAGGAGAGGTGATTAGATATGACGTGACCTTGGATAGAAGGTTATGAAGTACACGAATTATGGTAGAAGATTAGTAAGTAGTAGCACATTTTCTTGTCATTCATTCATACTAGTAGTTATAATATTGCTCTTTTAATTATTTAAGCGTCGAGTTTTGCTATTATTTGTTGTTTTTTTATAAATTAACTAGCATATTATTTGTTGTAGTTAATGTCCTGTTATTACTGGTATTATTTTTGTTACTATCTACTTCCTCCGTTTAAAAAAGAATGACCTCCTTTCTTTTTTAGTCTGTTTCAAAAAGAATGACCTCTTTTTTTTTGTAACATTTTAATTTCAACTTTCCACGTGACATGTTTAAGGCCACAAGATTAAAGAGCAATTTTGTACATTTGATATAACTTTAATTTAGGACCACAAGATCCAAAAGTTTTCTTTATTTTTTTAAACTCCGTGTCAAGTCAAACTAGGTCATTCTTTGTGAAACGGAGGGAACACTAATTTTTCGACTTCTATTACTTCTTCTGAACTGCTTTGAACTATTTTTCCGTTGAAACAACTTCTCTACCTTTAAAATAGAAGTAAGGTCCGCATACCCTCTATCCTCTTCAAATCTCACTTTGTGAAATTATATTGAATATGTTATTATAGTAGTAATATAATCCAATAGCCAACAACCATCCAAACAAGCTGAAAAGTCCTAGACATAGTGACCACCTCTAGTATAGACATGGCCTACAAAGCTTATGATTGACTATGGAATATATGCAAAGAGATTCTAAAATGGCAAATTCAACTTTGTGACAAAGCTACTTCAACACTCCTTTTCCTTTAAATCTGGTCCTTAATTAAGGCAAACCCAGAAAGTGTCTTTCTCAAAGGCATCATAATCTTCTTGATAAGTAAAGTGAGTGAGCATAATTAAATTTAATCTACTCATGGATACATAACCAAAAGTTACATTTTCTTTGAAAACATACAATGGCCAGATCTTGCTTTCAAAAGTAGAAAAAAAATGTTTAAAAAGGGGGAAGGAGATATGAACAATAGGAATGACTTAACTAAGAGTAACTACAGCACGGTGCACTAAAGCTCCTGCTATAGCTCAAGGAAAGGGCCAGACCACAACGGCCTATAATATCTTGTCAAGGAGAAGAGGCTCCTTTGAAGATTAGGAAGTTTAGAGTCTCTAAAGTGAAAAAGATAAATGTTCCTTTAGTATGAGTAAAGAAACACCCAAAGTTTGATCCCACCACACATTGCCATCCACCTCCATACTTCTTGTCAAATTCCTGCATAAAAAATTGAAAAACAAGAAAGGTCAAAATCTTAGGTATAAATTAGTACAATTGGAAATCTCACTAGTTCAGTTGATTGACTATCTAACTTTCATCTGAGTACCAAAGTTTTAAAATTAATAAATTTTGGTACATTTGTATGAAGAAAAGATTGAATTTTTTTTGAAGAATGTGGAGAAGGGGTGAGACCTTCTTGATGTGAGCAGCAATAGATTTGCAGTCTAAAACATCATAAAGATCAAGAGCTTGAGAAGCATATGACATAGCTTGGATCTGCATCTTTACTGGCATGTCTGTGTCTTCAATCAGTGCTTTGCCTTCTAACATACTGTTTTGCTATGAATTAAGAAGAAGATGAAGATGAAGATGAAGATGAAGATCAAGAAAAAAAATTAAAGAAGCTCCCTGCACTTTCTTTTTCTTCTTTTTGGCTCTTTCCAAAGAGTGACTATATAGAAATTGCTCTGCCCAATCTCTTTTTGAGTGCAAGTTTTTAAATCCATCCAAATGACATACTAATATATAAATATGTCTGGTATTTAAACTTGTTTAAAATTGAACTAATAGATGTGACACATGTTTTGTGATATCCTACATGATAATTTGAGTCTTATGTAGTATTTTACGTGTATTATGTCATGTAACACTAATGTATGAACTTATTTAATTATATATAAATTTAAGTGTCTACTTGTACATATTCAAAATTGGAAGACATAAAAGACACATTTATATATTATGCGGAAGAAAAATCATAAGGCATTAAATTTAAATATTGGGGAAAATAAAAGGTTTAAATATTCGAGATAGGAGTAATGAGATAAGATTGTATAGAAATAGTATTGATACCAAATTATAGTACTGTAAAGTTTGGCTGCAAACTTAAGTTTGTGTGTTAGGTACATGCCATACTGGGTACTAGTTTTATACGGAAAAGGGTCAAAAATACCCCCGAATTATTCGAAAAGGTTTAAAAATACCTCTCATTCACCTATTGGGTTAAAAATATCCCTCCATCCACCTTTTTGGTCCATAATTACCCTTAAAACTAACAATCTTTTATTTTTTAATTATTATTATTATTAATTATTATGTGACATCTTTCTATTGGATAAATTTAAATTACAACCCACCAAAATTTTTCCTACCCATTTGACCCATATCCACATTCTTTGACCCAAACCAAATTAAAAAATCATCAAAATTAAAAGATTTGATCATCTTCTCTCCCTTCAAACCTAATAACCTATTTTCTTTCTCATCATCATATACAACCTCAATCAATGATAACTAAAATAATGCATATATTCATATCAGTGATCAACCAAGAACTAGCGAATTTAATACCAATTAGAACTAAAAAACTCTTCTTGATTGTGTTTGAATTTGGTCAATGCCACCATTCAAATACAGTCAAATAGAACTTTTTAGTGTAACTCCACTATGAAAAGTTGAATCGTTTGAAAAGGGTGTAAACCAAAAGGAAGAAATAAGAAGACCCAATTCAGGTTACCTCAATGCCACCATGAAAACACAATCAAGAACAACTCTTTTAGTGCAACTCCACCATGAAAAATTGAATCTTTTGAAAAGGGTGTGAACCAAAAGGAAGAAATAAGAAGACCCAATTCAGGTTACCTCAATGCCACCATGAAAACACAATCAAGAACAACTCTTTTAGTGCAACTCCACCATGAAAAATTGAATCTTTTGAAAAGGGTGTGAACCAAAAGGAAGAAAGAAACAAGACCCAAGTCAGATTACCTCAATGTCACCATAAAAGCACGATTAAGAAGAGCTATCTAGTGCAACTTCCCCTTAAAAAAATGAATCTTTTCACATGGGTGTGAACCAAAAGGAAGAAACAAGAAAGACCAAATTCAAACACAATCAAGAAGAGCTACTTAGTTCTATTGATATGACCAAATTCAAATACCAATATGTCAATTTCAAATTTAAATACTAATTGATTCAATCATTAATTTTATCTTGAAATTGTTGAATAAGAAAAGAGAAAAAAGAAAATAGGTTATTAGGTCTAAGGGGAAGAGAAGAGATGATCAAATCTATTATTTTTAATAAAAAATTTAATTGGGTTTGGGTCGGATATGGGTCAAATGGGTAGAAATTTTTTTGGTGGATTGAAATTTAAATTTATTCAATAGAAAGATGTCACATAATAATTAATAATAATAATAATTAAAAAAATAAAAGGTTGTTAGTTTTAAGGGTAATTGTAGACCAAAAAGGTGGATGGAGGGGTATTTTTAACCCAATAGGTGAATGAGGGGTATTTTTAAACTTTTTTGAATAGTTCAAGGGTATTTTTGGCCCTTTTCCGAGTTTTATATATAGTAAAATTATGATATTCCCTTCGTCCAATAATAGTTATCTATTATATTAGAGAAAAGACATAAAGTGACACATGAAGTTGTTCCGAATTTTCAAAAAGACACCTAAACTAAGCAAGCGTTCTATTACCCCCTAAATAATCATGAACTAATATTATTACATCATTTTTTGTCCACCTGGCATGGAGAGTGTATGCACTCTCTTAAAGAACGTGAACAAACTAAAAAAACGAATATAATTTTATTTTTACAAGTATTTCGCTATAAAATATATTTTCTTAATTTTCTTATTATTTTAACTTTTCTCCTTGTTATTTTTTTTCTTTTTCTTTCTTTCTTCTTCAAAAAATCATTGTCATCTTCATTGTAGCTTCTCACTTTCAATGCCACTTTTTACCACAACTCCACCTCCCTTTTTTACTACTATTAGTTTAACTCCTTTCAATTTTAAAATTATATCTAAATATTTTATTACATTTCGAACAATTTGATAAACCCATTAGATTTCAAGATGATTAGTAAGTATTATTTAGTTTTTTAATCCAAATTTCAATTAAACTTTTTCAATTTTCGGAGAATTTTGATTCTTTCAAAATTATCATTTCTAGTTTTGATGTTATATGAAAATGAGATAAATTAATTGATGATACCTTCAAAATTTTTATTTTTCTTAGAAAAATAATTAGTTTTGTTATCAATAACACAAATTCTAGAAAACAGTCTAATTTTGGAAAGAAAGGAATTTGACCGAAGAAGAAGAAAAGAAAGAAAGAAAACGAAGGGAGGGGTAGCTTGAAAGTAGGGGTAGAAGATGAAGTAGAATTTAAAATGAATTTTTTTTTAGTTAAATTTTTGACCCTATGGACCATTTTATTATATAATCAAACAAAAGCCAAATAATCCAAATCAGGTCCAAAAGTGACCTGATCCAACAATTACAAACAAAAGCAAAAAGCAGCTCTTAGACACTCTTCAAGAAATGTCTGAAATTTTTCTCCTTATCTCATCCGCCGCCCTTGTATAAACCTTGACGCCTTAGCCACAAGATGAAGATGAGCTTCATTTCCGCCTGTTGCAGCTGCCATGGTGAGTGTATCCCTTTTTCCGTTTTTTACTAAAACAAAATTTCATTTTGCTCTGATTTCAGGTGAATCCAGCCTTCTCCTAAATCGTTGTCTTCTTGCTGCCCAGTCCCGTACATAACCTCTCTATTGTACTTGATCTTGTTCTTGTTTTGTAACCCTATATTCATTGCTTAATTTGATCAAGTTTGTTATGATTGAATCTGATGAATACCCTTGACTGTGTGCTTCCTTTGTTTCTTTAATTACTGCTGTTGAACTGCCCTGTATTTCCTCTTTTCTTACATGTTTTGATCCGAATATTAGGGATCTGTGACTTATCTGCATTCAGAATCTTCCTACAAATGCTAGGAAGCTCTTGAAAATTATTGTATATATGCTTGCCTTCTTGCTCATATGCTCTATTTGCTAATGAATATGCAAGATAATTTCCTTCCCTGTAAACATGTGCGACCTGAATGTTAAGTAGCTGTTGTACTCTGATAATTGCCTGGTATATATCTGCCATCTCCCATGGAATCTTTCATAATCCTCTTAAAATATCAATCATACATAAAGAGTATGTTTCTAGAATAACATTTTGTAACCCTTTCTCTGTACAGACCTTTAAAGCTTCCAAAATAGCCTTTGCTTCTGCCTCCATATTTGTAGCAACTCTAATAGGTTCCGCTCGAGCATAGATTAGATTTCCTTCACTATTTCTCAAGCAAAACCCATATGTACTTAATCCTGGATTGCCTCTACAAGCCCTATCTATATTACACTTAATAATTGTACCTTCAGAGGGTCTCCAAGCTACTGATTGATAATACAATTTGGGTTTGTACATCTTAAGCATTTGTACCATGGTTGGCCAGTCATCTGGTAATTTGTTCATCTATGGGAACCACATCGCAATCAGTTGCCTTATTAGTATCTAAACTTGTAACATCATGTTGTGGAAATTGATGTCTCCATCATGTCTTCTGGCATTTCTTCTCTTTCATAGTGTCCACATTATCAAGGAGGGTATTGCTCTGCAAACACTCCTCAATTTTGATGGCCATGTGAGCCTCCAGAATTTAATTATCACTTGTTGTAAGTGCATGTTGTCAATGTTGATACCTGCAAAAATAGCAAATTGCTTTCATAGCTTGTTGGCTATGGGAGCAGTTAGTAATAAATGGTTCATGGTTTCCTCTTCATAAGTATCACAACAATGACATCTAGAGACAGGTGTAATTTTCATTCTCTTCAGATTATCATCAGTTGATATTCTCCTTCACCATACTCTCAAACAAAAGAAGTTTATCTTAAAAAGAACTCCCCTTATCCACATTAATTCATAGCACTGACTAGGCTCATCTCTTTTCCTCACAAGTTCCCAAGCTGATTTAACTTAAAAAACTCATTTAGTGTTGGCCATCCACCATGGTCTATCATCCTTTCTTCCTTCTATTGGAGGTTTGATTGTTTCCACAATATGCTCTACCATCTCCTCTGATAATTTGCTCCTGAGCTTAGGAATATCCTAATTTCCTTGGTTGATGAATTCTCTCACCTCAATTTCCAGCAGGAGCAACCTCAATTGTCGTACCCAGGCGCCGGTCTCTAGAAGCTTCTGGAATGTTCAATTTGTATGGCCTCAGTGATGAGAATATTTTGTGTGCCACTTCTGATGATGCATGCATTGGGGACAAGTATATGTCAATTCCGTAGATCAAGGCTTTCAAGGACTCTTGAGTTGGTGATTTGTCACTAGGCATAATTCCCTTCTATGTAATAAAGTGCACCTTGCTTAGTCCAATTGTCAAACAAGAAGCTTGAGTTTCCAGCAAGAACCTGCCACCAGATTTGATGTTCAACTTCCTCCTTTACCAAAATCATTTTTCTCCATATATAAGAAGCTTTTATGCCCTGCATTAGGATAGGATGTAACTTTTTACAATATTTATTCCACATATAAACACTCCATAGAGATGTGCTCACCCTGAAAATCCACCAAAGCTTTGCTACCAAAGCTTTTGATACATTATGTATAGATCTGAAACTCAAACCCCTTTTCTCCTTGGGCAGACACATCTTATCCCATGAAACCCAATGTTTATTTTTAGCACCAGTGGTATTTCCCCAATAGAACTTAGCAAAGATACTATGAAGCTGATTAATAATACTGACGGGTGGATTCATAGCTGAAAGTAGGTATATAGGCATTGATTGAAGTACATGAGATATCAATATATACTTCCCACCAAAAGTCAAAAACCTATTCTGCCAAGAGTTGATCCTCTTCATCACCTTTTTCACTAAATCTTCAAAATGAACCTTATTTTTTCTCCCATAGAAAACAGGACAACCTAAGTATATGAAAGGAAAGGAACCTTGTCTAATACTTGTGATTCTTCTTATCTTATTGATGATAGCAAGAGGAACCTTTTCATGCACATAAAACAAACTTTTGTTGAGGTTTATCATCTATCCGGAAACTTGCTCATATCCTCTTAATATATTCATCATCATTGTCATGGAAGTAGGTTGTCCTGAGCAAATAAGATGGTATCATCTGCATATGATAAATGATTCACTTCAGGACTCCATTTTGGAAGACCATATCCTTTGAAATTAGTATCC